GTTTATTACACTGCCCAGGACCATCATAGGTGTACAGGAGACACTGTAGGGTCATGTTGCTACCAGGCATCAGATTTTTTGGTGCAACAACTGAGAAAGAAACAAGAGAAATGACAGGTTCATAAGAATATCATAGGAACACATGTACAGCCGTTAAATCAAAACGTTTTACATGTTAACATTTCAATAAGGGAGGGGTTTTTAAGTGGCTGAAATATAAACAGACTTTATGCACATGGCATAGCTCGTAAGTAGATCAAAACTTGAAGAATATTTTCTCTTGTATATTTTTATCAAGAAATTATGGATTACTTCTCAAATAATACTTTTAATTAATCAGCATGCATTAATTATTTCAAATACATTTTAAGAACATTAATAAAATTATGTCTAACAATAAAGTTTATACCTGTGAGTACAGACATGTAAACTACAGCATCAGTTCCACGTTGCTTTCCATTGACCATCTGCCTACAGGTGTAGGACCCAGCATCTGCAGTGCTGACTTTATGAATGTGCAGAGAGCAGTCAAACCCAATTGTCATTTTCTCATTTCTGTGTGAATTATTAACCACTTGTACTAATTCCTGACTTATGTTCTGAGCATAAAGCCACGTAGTTGAGGAGCAGTTAGAATGAATGACATTGTTACATAGGATAGTAACATCATCTCCCACTCCGGAGTTCACAGTGAGCTCTGCACTGACACCTGGGGGGGAGAATGGAAGCAAAAAGAAATGATATTCACTTTGTATTCCTCATGATAAAAATTCCCCATTATTCCTACAGAGATAAGCAGCAGAGACACACAAAGGGAAAAGTGACTGGCAGCTGATTCTGGTTTTGACATGAGCTGGATTTGAATTTGTTTAAAGAATCTACTGCATAAACAGTTACTTCATTGTTTTGTTTGGTGCTGAAGCTTTAAGCAGAAGATGACATGTATCAACACTACAAAAAGCATAAAACCTGCTCCCAGACTGAGTCATATACTTCCTTAAAACTGAAGGTTATTGTTTTATTTACTTCTTAATTATTCAGAGCAAAACCCAGAACTGAGAAAAGCAGACAGGAAATGTTGTTCATCAATGTAACATGTTAATAAACATTAATCTACTGTTTAATTACCTAATTAAAGACTCCAGAATGAGACTAAAGCAGATATAGAACACAGGTTTGAACCTTCTTGGGCTATAAATCAGTATAAACCTAAGTCACTTCCTGATTTCCATACTGTATATTTCATTCTTAATATTTCTTTCTTTATTGTTTGATTAAGAATATGTAATGTCATAATCACATTACCTAGTTAGTTATCCTGTAATACAGTTTTTCTCGATTGCTTTGGCACATTTCATGAAACATACTTAACATTCTCAAGACTACAAGAACATTTCTTAAAACAGTTCATGCAACAGCACAACACTATGGATTGGCTGCAACAGCCTGTAACTTACCCAGAAAAAAATAACCCGTCTCAAAAGCAAATTTCACTAATAACTAGTCAGTGCCACCAAATGAAAAGTACATCATTTTACCTACAGTATGACAGTCAAAATACTTATATATATATTGTCAAGATGTCAATGAAAGTTTGCTCCTGTGCTCCACAATTATATGCATGATAGTTGGTTCCCACTCTCATTGTCACTGACTGATCATGTTCCTTTAATAAACTGATACTTATTCATGTCAAAGACACCAGTTTCAATATTTCAAGCTCTACGTACATTACTGTATGTAAAGTTCATTGGCAAGACAAAGCATTTGCATGCACATGTAACTTCTTCAGATCCAAAGATGCAATACGATAGCAAACAAAAAAAGTCACACAGCACTGTGTAACACAAAAACAGCAACGTGGCAATACAAGAACAAACAAATGACAATAGGAGGACTGTGGAAGCCAAAAACAAAGCAATGGTGTATCATTGCAATTTATGGAGTATATATTTCAATTATTTTCAAAGCTAGGTTAACTTCTTTGTATGTGGTGGCTAACAGAACGATTACATATAGTTTTGTGTGTAAAATTATTACGATGGGAAACTGCGTAATTATTTTGACCAACAAGATTAAAGCAACTGACAATTACAAAACCATCTGCATGTACATATGCACTGAAGCATTTGGAATTTTGTGTGAAGCAATGAGAAATGATGTTCTGCTATGCAACTGACATTATGTTGTGGGGATTACATTTGTTGCTCAACAAATGTTAATTGCATTTGAGAAATGCTCCAAAGCAATCAAGAAAAACTGTAAGACAGTTTAAAGCGGCCATGTTCTCTTTTAACATCAGAGCGATGACTATAGGTGCAGCTGTGGTTCACGATCTCAGAGACAAACTGTCAACCTGCTCATTGATGTCATTTGGTAACATTAGTTTTTGGCTAAGGATTGATTTACAGGCATTTCCACAGAACTGAATTAAACCACACATGGAAAACTGCTGTAGAAATATGAATCATTTTAAACAAACATTGCATCAATACATTGTACATATGGTGCCTAATCATATAATTTTCCTACAGATATTTTTCCAGATCATTTGCTTTTGTAGTACTGGTATTTTGTAAAACAAATCTGTTAACTGCTGTCTCTTCAAGAAAATCAGCCACTCATAAAATGTGGTATTGTTAAGAAAATGTCCTTAGAGACGACATCCTTAATGAATGTCTTACGAATTTAAACATTCTAACATTCTAAAAGTTTCCATATTGTTAAAATTATTTTCTGACTCTTACCCATGGTAGGATGTCCAATGATTAAGAGCAGTCCAACAAGAATATATTTCACTACAATCATTTTCTCTCTGGCTCACTTTTTCTTCTGTGATATATTTCACGTGAACAGTGTCTTAGTGTGTGATGAAGACCTGCTTTTAACACTGAAGCTAAGGTATCATTTCCTCAGTGAGGCTGTTTACTTCAATGTAGGTGGAGAACTGGATGACTTTACTAGTTTAAATGTTGAGATTCTTTAAGTAGGTACAGTTTAAAATTACATTTAAAACACATTTTAAAATTTCACACAACATTTCACAGTGGTAGGATTTCATTGGTGGTCTGTTTTACTACCCCTTCTTACACCCTTGTACAACAGCTCAGGATTTTAGTATTGCATGTCTCTTCTAACATGCCAATAGTATTAGCAGAATTTAATGTACTGTGGAGCGGGTATCAGACATGGCGTGCAGAAATAAGGAGCTGGACACAGAAGTGCAGAAAAGCACAGAAATTGCATTTATTTAGGTCAGCCAGTTGCTCTGAAAACCCACACACAATGCCCACCGTTTGGCACATAACATTAATACTACATATGACATTGCAGTACAACACAATGCCAACACAATAAACGCTGACTACACACAGATATGTACATTATTTCCATTTGCCACTGCATTGCCTGATAGGTATCCCCAACACTACACTGCCCCTCTCCTAGGGGGTTACCTGTCTCAGGACCCCCAGAAAGTCCTGGTAGTGCTCCAGACAACCTCGAGCCCTCCACAGCCACTGGGTCTCTGGTCCTGCACCGTCCTCCTAAGTCTCTACATTTGGGTTACTTATCCCAGGTCTTGGAGAAGGATGCTCCTAGTGGGCCAGGGGTTGGTATGGAGTCTGGCAGTTACAATGTAGCACAACATGTCAGATATTCGCTCCAGGACCTCCCCAGGGCCCCTCCAGTCCCTCCTGCTTCCTTAGGAGGCGGTGCACCCAAATAGAGTCCCTGGGCTGGAAGGCCTGTCCCCGACAGGTGGAGGCCGTTGGCTCATTTCTGGCTGGCCATGGCTGCATCCCGATGTTGCTTGGCCAGCTTGCGCATGGTCTGCATAGTCTCCTTTAGCTAGCACAGGTAGTCCAATCCCGGTATTGCTAACAGCTCTGGCTCAGACAGTGAGCTGAACACCAGCTCTACTGGGGTCCGCAGCTCATGGCCAAACATGATGGTGTTGAGGATGCAGCTGGTGCTTGCCTGCACTGCTACATTATAAGTCCACAGGACCAGGGGAAGATGGGCATCCCGTTTGCACTGGTGCTGGTAGACAAGGATTGCCAGTTGTGTGGATATGGTATGATGACACTGCTCCACCGGCCTGTCACTCTGAGGATGGAGAGCGTTTGTGTGGGTCTGCATGCTCCCCAGCCACTGGCACATCTCGCCTCACACCTGTGCCCTGCAGGTTGCTGAAACTCAGGAGCCAGGTATGGGACACATGGTTAGTCAGCAACCGGAACCGCCGACTGCAGAAGAACAGGCCAGTCTCACACACCAAATTTTTTTTTGGATCAATGACAACGCCCTTCCTGCTGATGATGTGGTCTAGGAAGTCCATCTCTTGCAGAAGGAGAGAACATTTCTGGGGCTTCAGCTGCAATCCTGCCTGCTGGATCACTGTGAACACAGTTTGTAGGTTCCATACTCCTCTGCCGAAGTCGCCAAGCTAGCCCATTCTAGGTGTAGCTGCGGGGGTTAGACTGGCATGTGCTGTGGGTGGCGCCACCCGCCGGCATTTCCCAGCTGCTGTTAGGGGTGAGGGTGTAGAAATGGAGTGGGGCAGTTTTGGGCAACGTGTCCCAGGTCCCTGCAGTGGATTGAGGTTGCTGGTAAGGTGCAGGAGCAGTGGCATTCACATCCTCACCCATCTCCTTTTCCTTGGTGCTCTACATGGCGCAGGTCTGGCTCCAGGATGAGCGAGACACTGTACCCAGCACTTCCTCAGCCTCATATGCCAGCTCCTCAGCTGCCCTCGGCATGGCTAGCTTCAGCAGGCACACATGCTGGTGCAGTCGCTCCAGGGAAAGAACTCGCAGGAAAGCCTCTTGACGGGTCCTGATGGAGACATGGCTGAACTCGGGCCATTTACCATTATTACCCTCATAGCTGTGTACATCCCCCCCCCCCCCCCCACCCAAAAATAACATTTCCGTAAAAATTTCTAAAAGTGAAGTTTTTAGTGTACCTGACAGGATTAATCCAAGTGTGGACACAAAGGAGGCCCTGAATATTCTTTATCAGACCATCACTGAGTTGCAAGCCACGCATCTAGAGGGCATTTTCATTGTAGCAGGAGATTTCAAACAGGCTAACATGAAAACATTTCTCCCCCATTTCCAGCAATATGTGGACTTTGCAACCAGGGGAATCAACACACTGGACTTGGCCTACACAAACCTAAAGAATGCTTTCAGAGCTGTCCCTCCCCCTCCCCCACCTTGGCTCCTCAGACTATTGTTATGTGCCGTAAGTGTTATGTCTGTTATGCTAATACCTGCATACAGGCCCCTGCTGACCAGAGGACAACCCATTGAAAGGCAGGTGAGGGTTTGTCCTGAGGGAGCAATGGAAGCCTTACAGGACTGTTTTGAGCGCACGGACTGGGACATGTTCAGAGCTGCTGCCACTGATAATCAGCACACTAATGTAGAGGAGTATGCTGAATCTGTATCTGCCTACATCCAAAAATGCACAGAGGACATCTGTGTCATGGAGAACATCACCACCAGGGCCAATGAGAAGCCATGGATGACGTGAGAAGCTAAAAGTACGGAATATCGCTTTCAAGTCGGGTGATGAGACTGCACTCAGAACAGCGAGACCCAACCTCAACCGTGCTATAAGAACAGCAAAGCGTCCGAAATCTCTTCCGTGACCCTAATAACACCAGGCAGATGTGGCAGGGGATTCAGACGATTACAGACTACAAGGCTGCTCCTCCACTGTGTGACAACAACCCCCATCTGCTGAATAAACTCAACAGTTTTTTCGGTAGATTTGCAAGAAATGACAACACCCCTGCAATAAAAGCTAATCCTCACCCGGATGAAAAAGCACTGAGCCTCAACGTGGCTGATGTCCGGAAAACCCTGAGGAAGGCGAACACACGGAAGGAAGCAGGCCCCGACAACATTCCAGGACGAGTACTCAGGGAGTATGCTGACCAGCTGGCACACATCCTTACGGACATCTTCAATACCTCACTGGTGCAGGCTGTTGTTCCATCATACTTCAAGTCTGCTACTATCATTCCAGTGCCCAAAAAATCCACCATCACGTTTTAACGACTACCGCCCTGTTGCGCTTACTCCCATAATGATGATGTGCTTCGAGAGGCTGGTAAAACACCACATCATCTCTACACTGCCACCTATATTTGACCCATTTCAGTTTGCTTACCGGCCAAACCGCTCCAGAGAAGATGCCATTTCCTCTGCTCTTCACCTGAGCCTTGCACATTTGGAGGACAAGAACACTAATGTACAAATGCTGTTTGTTGATTTTAGTTCAGTGTTAAATACAATCATCCCCCAGCAGCTGGTGAGCAAACTGGCCCCCCTGGGTATCAGCACACCCATGTGCAACTGGCTGCTGGACTTCCTCACTGCCAGGCCACAGTCAGTGAGAGTGCGTAACAACATCTCCAGCTCCATCTCTCTCTCCATCGGTTCCCCTCAGGACTGTGTCCTCAGTCCTTTGTTGTTCACGTTGCTGACTCACGACTGCTGTGCTGCATCTGCCTCGAATCACATCATAAAATATGTGGATGACAAAACAGTGGTGGGTCTCATAAGGAACGACAACGACCTGCCCTATAGAGAGGAGATGAAGCGACTGGTGGGATGGTGCAGGGATAACAACCTGATCCTGAATGTCGAGAAGACCAAGGAAATGATCATCGACTTCAGGAGAAAACAGCCCAGTCATTCACCACTCGTCATCGACAACAATACCGTAGAGGTGGTCAGTAGCATCAAATTCCTGGGTGTGCAGATAACTGGAAACCTGGACTGCTCACCAAATACAACTTCACTGGTAAAACGGGCTCAGCAGCAGTTGCATTTCCTGCGCAGGATGAAGAGAGCACACCTTTCCTCTCCCATCCTCACCACTTTCTACTGAGGCACCATAGAGAGCGTGCTGACCAGCTGTATCGCCATCTGGTTTGGCAGCTCAAAATCCTCAGACAGAAAATCGCTGCAGAGAGTGGTGAGGACTGCAGAGAGGATCATCGGGACTTCACTTCCATCCATCCAGGACATTGCACTCAAACGCTATCTGAGGAGAGCCTGTAACATCATCAGTAGGGTTGGGTATCGTTTAGGGTTTTTTGGTGCAAAATCGATACTTTTAAAATGGTACCGGTGCCAAAACGGTGCCTGAACCGATACTTTACAAAAGCCACAAAATGATGGTGGATGACTCAAAAATACATTTTTATTGAACAAAAAATTGAATGCTTAAAATTGAACAATATATTAAAAGTTTAAAGTATATATGAATATATAAGTAAATACAAAAAACAACAACAACAAAACATAAGCCACCTAACCCAAGTACAATAACTAAACCGCTTCAAATTTTAGCAATTCTTTTGCAGAAATATCACCATAATTGCCTTTTTGCTACGGTTGGTATGACTGGGGCTGGGGTCATCCACACCGATAGTGCCAGCTGTTGTCCGCAAGCTGTCAAACACGGTGCATCCCTCTGCTTTTAAGTTTATTCCGTGTGCTCTCAAATGTTTCATTAGATTTGACGTGTTTCCCCCTTTACACGCAACAGTTGTAAAACATTTGCTGCACGTCGTGGTGTCAGAATCCTTTCTTGTGAAATATAGTCACACTTTCGACCATTTAGTTTTAGGCATTTTAACAAAAGTTGTTTAATTTAGCAAGCTAAGATAGCAGTAGACCACCTGCTGCTGTCAGAGCAAGTGTAACGTTAGTTGCTGCATTCACGCGCATCTTGGATGGTCTCATTTCCTGGTGATGTCACGTGTGTGTTGATGAATCTGATACTTATTATGACTGTGTCATCATAGCCCCAGAGAACAAATATTTCAATCGACAGTTCAGGCATCTAAATGGCACCGA